ACTTATCTTCTTGTTTTATTGCGAGTAATGTGCCACGTTTAAGTCAATTAGTTCTTCAGAATTTATCTCCTTCCCTTATATAGTCTGTTTATAACTTGAAACAAGATTGATAAATAAATCATGAATCCTTCCTGCGTAATCGTAGATGCGTGTTTCGCGATGATTTGAAATTAAATTGCTCTCCTGACAGAAGATGAAACGCTCAGCATTAGTGTGCGTGTAAGTTATTTTATTAGGTACGAGGATTTCTGTTGGAGTGAAAAAAAAAACAACAGAAAAGTAGTTTGTTAAATCATTAGCTACCACTAGGACCTCTTTTTATGCATTTATGAATAATGATTTCTAATAATGATGTGCCCATTATTACCAATATTTCTAGTTTTTAAGTAACCTTATTTTTTTTTCTTTTCAATTTATTTGTGGTCATTTACAATTACAATACGCTCTCTAAGAAAAAATATCAGAAATATTTATTCATTATAAAAAACATCTCCATTAAAAAACATTCTTACCTGCAAGCGTGTTCATTTTTTAATTCGAAAAACTCAAAAAATTGTCTATAAGTAAATGCTCAAACCCAATTCTTCTTCGTATGAAATCCGTGGTTGCGAATTTATTTTATAGGAATAAGTGGAATATCATTAAAGGATATTATTGGATTCCGTCAAGAGCATATCAATAATTTATTATTATTATTATTAATTCTGTGTATCGACCATTTCATTTGGCAATGCTGCTGCTCGAGTGCGCATTAGTATTGCGCAAGGGGACTCAGGTCTCAATGTCGAAATTGACAGCTATGCTAATCAGACATCTATGTGCCGCTCCTTTACGCGCCTGTCTTAAACTTGAAGTGCTTATTTATCTACTACTGTAAAATCTAAGATGTTTATCTTTCTTGTACAGATCCCCTAGATGGATATTTTCGTTGAGTAAGCTGGGAGCAGGCTTATGTTCGATTCTATCAGGAAATCTTTGCTATCTTAAATCGATTAGACTCAGGGTAATCGATTGATAATTCATGGTCAGATTTGAATTATAAGAACTATTTGTAAATACCTCTATTAATATTGTAAACATTTTATCTTATTACCGTTTATAGTTCTTGTATTTTAAGCTTAATTCATCATCCATACCTGTCAGAAATACAGATAACAAGTGATATCTAGCGGCACCCTTTCTATCTTGATTTTAGATTCCTATTGAAGCCAGGAGATCTCTCATTCAGTTTCTTTTGAGCCACCTAAGCGTCTACTCGGGCGTGTTAATTGTCCTTAATACTAATACCTTGTATGAGTGTTGTAATGTTTGTGACGTACCGTGGAGCTTTAGTTATTGTTCTGAAAGTTTTTGACTGAAACTTTTTGGTTTTCATATGTGCGTCGTTTTGGCTGTCCCGTATATCTGTGAAACGTAAGTCCAAATGGGTCTAAAAGTAGGTAGATGTTCAATTTTAATTTTTTGTTAATATGTGAGCCACGTGTCATTTTTTTATCGGATATCAGTCGAATATATTGAACTCTATCTGTTTGAACAATCCGGACTTTGTCAAGGCAAAAGAAGGACATATTTAGGATTTGTCTTGGTCGAATGAAATTTTCCAAAGTTTAAACCAATCTTTTAGTTTTGTTAGATGATGTAAAATATGTGGGCTCTATTTAGGATTTTTATACCTTGTTGGATTGTTCTATTGTCCGTCTAGGTCACTGTAATAGTTCTGGTACTATTTAGAAAATCTAATATGTAACAGCGGTGCCAGTACTGACCCTTAACTGTACTGGTGGTTAAAACTAAGTAAATAGACCACATGGTCTTTAATGCCAACACCCGACGGCTACCTTGAGGTTCCCACCGTGTTCTTTGGTAAAAATGGGATTGTCAAAATTCATTTACCCCAACCTAGGTGGTAATGGAACCCACAACGTTCAGAACCGGACGCCAAGAGACCCTCGCCACAACCTGATCGGTCATCCCACCTCCACAGCCCCGTAAGAAACTCCTCTTGGGGTGATCTAATAGGAAAAAAAATCTGAGCCTAGGCTGACAGAGAACTCTGTCAGAAATAAAGAACTGAATGAAAAAGGTGAACGGTAGGATAATGAAATATAAATAATTACTATCTTATCAGTTAATTAAGAAACTAAATTGATTATTGAATTTTAAATTATTTAAAGGAAATTTGAAGATTATTTCATTGGAGATATTTCGGTATTTTTCAGATGAATTATCTTTTTATTATTGTAAGGAGTAGATTTTTAAATTTTATCGTTCAAGTTATTTATTCTTTATTTATTTGTTAGCCAAAAGTATATTGCATGCCTTTCTATGAAGCTTTGGATCAGAAAATAGTCAGCGTATTTTATGTTTTTTTTTTAAATGCAGATTTAAATACTGGATATTCAACAGTTTAGTACTAATTATTTATAGATATGTTAATTAAATCATAGATATTACTTGATAATATCAATAAATCTATGCAATTAAATAACCCCTTGTGGTTTTTTTTTTAATCACAAACAACTTTTTCTATAGCGAAATAATTATTAGGAGTATAATAACAATCAGAAATCACTAAGAATAAGCATTTAATTATTTTTTTCAGGCTAAATAATAAGATGAATCGGTTAGGGTTGTATAGTATTATAATTTATAGTTCACTATACCACTCACCCGCATCTGAATTTGGCTCCTGTCAGAGTGGGGTTGTGTTATGTCTGAGAAGGGGCCAATATATATCCTTGGAGAAGGTATATTCTCCACAGTTATCTATATCTTTAAATAAAATAAAAAAATCTTATCTTTAATTTCTAATAATGAAACTTACAAAAGAAATTTTATTATTTAAGAATAATTGAAGGAAGTTAGTCCAATTTTCTTAATATCATGGGTGATACATAATCAGGACGCCGGCAGTTTTTTAAGATTTCTATTTGCCGACGTTTCAACCTAGGAATGTGGGTCATCATCATCAAGTACTTAAGAACACTTAAGTATCTTAAAGCAATCAGTAACTGAAGTACTTGAACACCTTCAGTGCTGGTAACATGCCCTGATTATGACCCATCAGCTTGGGTTCACACGTCGGCAAATAAAAATCTTGAAAAACTGACTGCATCTTGATTATCAATCACCAACCTTATTATTTAAAGAATAGAACTTTTTTTGTGTTGGTTTTGTAAACCCTCCGATTCTTTTTTGCCTTATTGAACGTCATTCTCCTCTGTCTTAGTTGTTATGTCGTACTTCATCTTGCTTTCAGTATTTCCGTCTATCCATCTAATTTTGTTTTTTTTTCCAACTACTGTGTCATTCCTTGTCATATAAAACTGTCCGCCAATCGAAAGCAGGTCTGCTGTTAAGTAAGATCTATGGTTCATCTCGAATTATTCCGTTGTATTATAAAAATGCTATACCGATACCCGAGAATCCTTGGCGCTGTTACCATGCCATCTAAGTTTTTTTTCCCTGTGAATACCAAACAGTTTGACACTTTCACTTTGTTTATATATTCGCTATTGTTGTTTACTACCCTTCCGACACAGCCTTTGGTCATTGGAAAGTTTCTACCATTGGATGTTTTCTTCTTAGGAGTTCAATTGTCCTTTGCCGGTCGACGGACCCGGAAACGTGACAATGGCCATAACAAGTATAATGGAGGATTAATTTGAATGAGCCCAGTGATAATGAGTTATGGTGATGGATGCACAATGTGGGTCAGTGTGCTCGGAACCAACAATTGTCTTTGGGGTGGGAGTAGGGACACATTGTAAGGTTTTAATTAGGCCCTCAGGCGGTACTGTAGGTCGTAGGTTTCTGGAAGATTGTGGAGGAAACCTAATTCAAAAACGGTCTTGTCAGAAACAAATTGTTTTTTGGCACTCGTAAAATATTAAATTTAGCATTGAAACCGTCACTAAAACCATATTCCCCCCAAATAATGTTTGTAAAAAAAAAAATGTTAAATAATACATAAGGTATATCGTTTGTAAACTAGTCCCTCTTTCGGGTCTCCGTGTGAGGACTGCTTTAGGGAATTCATGGTGGAAGTTGAAAATTAGAGCTGATATGGCGGAGTTGGTTTCGGAAGACGCCCTCTGGATGGAGGAATGAAGACATCGGTGGTATCGGTATAGAACCTTTGGGTTCACTTAGCCTTATGGATATTAATATATATAATTGGTACCACTGTACAAATATCATTCCATCTCTTCCAGTGGACAAAAATCAATTGTTCGTGGCATCAATGGAATTCCGATATCACGATCGCGATTTAGGTCTTCTGCAAATTCCATACTGGTCCTTTTGATTTAAAATTAGTGCGTTAATATGCTTTAATTACATCGCTGCTTTCGGCTTCCGCTCTCTAACTATTTCGTAAACTGTTACTATTTGGTAAACTACCAAGGCCTGGAGAATGAACGTATTATGTTCATTAGGTTTGTTATTATATTATATTACAATTATTATATTATATAACCGTTTATTTTGTGTTTACGTAGAACCTAATAAAACTAGGCATAAGGCTTTTCTGACATCGGCTTTTCTGTGAACCGCCAACACTAAAAATGCCTTTTATATTATAGAAAACAGTAATTTTCTTCGTATAAATATTACTCCATAGAAACATTTTGGACTACAATCCCCTTTATTTTAAACAAATTTCAACGCTCTTTACATAATAACTTTATTATCAATTTGTAATGATATTTATATCGATATTAATATATCTGTACGTGTGATTACAAAGTACGAAGAACCACGTTGACAAATCTTAATACTTTACCAATCCCGCGGAGGTTCACGACCCCCTGGCGCCTCCTCTGATCAGGATAAATTTAGACTCAACCTCTCTGTAAATCTCTCTCCCTCTTTCTTATTCTTCTCTCTCTATATACATATATACATATATATATATATATATATATATATATATATATATATTTTTTTATTTATTTTTTTAGAAATATTTAAAATTAATATATTTTTAAATTCTTTTTCAGAAATTGGAAGGGTACGGTCTTCGCTATTCCAAGTGGACGGCGTCAAAAAGGAACCCCTGGTACTCCCAGAACCAGAAGGAGAAACGATGACGCTTACGGACAAAGTTTACGTACCAGTTAAAGACCATCCAGACGTAAGTATAACTTGGATAATAATTTGATATACAGTGAAATATAACTGGGATGATGATTAAACTTAGGCCTAATTCTGTAGTTCATCTCTATTCTTGTCTTAACAAATAATGATTCAGTAGATTTTAATATCGATACTCATTCTAACTCACGTAGTTTTTTAAAAAATTAAATAAATAACCAGGTAAATTACTTATATGTTCTTAAATAATTATATATAATCATTTATAAATATATTTATATACAGAATTAATAATTACCTAGGGTAGTTAATTATTTATTCTGTTACATCAGTCGTGTTTCGATTCTGAAATCGGGAGACCCTCCTGTGGCACACCTCTATAAAATGGATACTCTTAATTAATCTTTAATTGTAACCTCTCTGTACAATCGTTGGCCTTGAAACAATATTTCTTTGCAAAGTACTGAACCCAAAATCCTTCAAGGAATGGATGCAATGGTGTACGGTATCCCTTTTACCTACCTTTTTTATTTATTTTTTTTTGTCGGATTTCTGATTCCAGTTCTGGCATACGGGAGGGGTTGTTCTAGAAGTTCAACGAAACCTATTCTAACAAGAGTGGGAGGGTCGAGTTTAATTTCGTGGGTCCGCCACGAAATAAAAGTCAATCACTCCCAGGCCGGATTCGAACGGGCGTTGCTAGACACAATGCTAGTCCGGGCAACACTCGGCCACCACGACCTCTCTCTTTTACCTGCCTGGTCATCTTTATCTTTCTAGTTATTCTAGAGCAGGAGTTACCAAACTTTTTAGCCCTCTGGTCATATTCAGAACTCTACGAAGTCCCACTTGCCAACGCTTGCGAAGAAAATAAAAAATGTGTTCTATAATTGACAATTCAGCAGTAAAATGAGTTTTCTAATGGAAATAATTCATGCAATATACGTAGCAACCTCATGTTTAAGTGGTTTACTAAATTTCATATTTTTTACGATTTTATCATGCAATCACAAAAACTTCCGCGGGCCGGACTGGAGTTATAGTTCTGTTAGAAGTATAACCAACCTATTCTAAACAAGTTTGAAAGAGAATCATACCTTGTGTCTATCACGAAATTTATATGTATTCCAATCCGCCCAAGCCGGATATGAACTGGCGCCGCTAAACTCTAGAATGCTAAAATAACCTTTTATAGTCGTTACATTCGTTGAATCTATTATCTACGTTCCATACAACTTCTCTCTCTCTATTTCCTATCTCTACAAGAATCATATTTTTTATTTTCCTCGTAATTTTCATTTTATTTTATTCATTAGTTTTGTTATATGATAAAAAATTTATTTCATATCATTGCGACAGAAATATCAGGGCCTTTTTATCATTAATTTAATTTCTTCTTAATGGACGTATGTCCTTGGATCAATACATTTATTTTCATTTCATTTCAAAACTTTTGGTTAAGTTTAACTATCTTAATCCAAATCAAGTATTTTCCCCTTATTCTTTTGGATGAACTTTTACGCTCCATTTTCTCGAAGCCCTAGGGATCGCCTAAAGGAATAATTTAAATTATAGTAATTTAGTTTAATGGCATAATTCACCTGATCCTTTCACGCTCTAGGGTGTATTCGATATTCGATAGGGTGTATTCTGTATTCGGTACAAAACCTCTAATACCCTGGAGCGAGCATTGACTTATCCCAACGTTACGTAGGTACTAGAGAAACGGCTGTGTTATGCGGGCGCAATTTCACTTTCTCTATTTACTTGGAAAATAACTTTCCATTCCGGCCCCAATTTGTCAAATACTAGTCCACGTTTTCAAATATTTGACAAATTTGATGAAGACATTTGACAAATTTGATGAAGACAGATTTAAATAACAATTCCATTAAAACATCACGTTACTTTGATTAAGAATACTTTTAAATATATATTTTATTGTATCCATTATATATTGATTTAATGCTGGTATTAGTTTTTGATAAAATCTAAGTATTCAGATGTACTGAAGGATTATGTGCAATTATTAATCCATTTATATTTAAAATTATGTAGCATTCAATCAATGCGGCTTTTTCTCAATATAAATAATAAATACAATAGTGATTGTTCACCGAAGTTATTGAAATGATTTCCGCAACTAGTAGACCAGGTGGTGACCCAGTGATCTAGTGCGGTACCGGATAAAAGGAACGGTGATTTAGTGAGCGGTCACAGTTCGTTAGTAGCTGCTTTTCACCGCGATCGCCAGTCACTGTTTTGGCACTCCGCGTTCCAATTTTCTTTTGTCATGTTTTATTGGAATTTTTCTTGCATCGAACAGACACAGATTTAAATAGTGGTTTATCAATTTAGTTTTAAGAATTAAATTCTTTGTTCAAAGCAAGATTACCGTAAATAATTAATTAAGTTTGATTGTTTGAAATTCATGGCAGTATTTATTAATTTTTCTGATATTGTTTGTAAAACATTTATTTTTGTTAATATAACTATATTGACCAATATAGTTTTTTTATTTAGACTAAATTTTATGTCAATTTAATCTAAGATGGATTCCGTTTTTTTAGATCGATTGAATGATTTGTATTAGTTTTTGTTTTATTTTATCTTCCTCTTGATCAGTTCAGTTTATAGTAAAATCACATAAGATCAAAATTGTCGTATGCTGATGATTCCAATATCCTCGATTAACAAATGTTAATAAACTGTTAACTGTCAAAGATAAACTGTTTAAAAATTATTCTTAAGCTATTTCGGTCTAATGGTTTCCATTTGACCCTCATTAGTCTGGAAAGATGGTCTGAAGTGAGGACTTGAGTGCCATTAAAAATAAGTAGTTGATGGAACACAAAATAATGGAGAATTTTACTGCCCAGTACAAGGAAAAATCATTGATGACTTCATCTAATGAGAGGTTATAAAAAAAAAAAACTCTTATACAAACTTTTTGTTTTTCAGTTATCCTTTTATGTATAGGGAAGTCACCAATCTTACGGCATATTACTTCTTCATTAGTGAATTCGAATAAATTAAGAGCTCATGACCGCAATAATTTATATCATGACATTAACGATTGTGATAAAAAAATATTACGACAGTATCATAAACCAGTCCAAAGTAGATATTAGTCATTCGATCGAAGATAGTTTTTTGTCAATAGAGATTGCAAAGCTATATTTTGAATTGCTAAACTTTAGATGTTTTTTTTTATCTACATATGCAATGTGTTAAAAAAACATAATTATAAAAATCAGAGAAGAGTATATAGTGAGGACTTTGTCAAGACTGCCTACAACCTCTTATGCGAATTTTAAATTTATTCATTATTCATGAATTATTATTCATTCGTATTTTTGTATTTAAAAATATACAATAAGATAGTTCAGTTTTTAAATAATTTTGTAAAAAATTTAAATAAACAATAAGCTCATTCATCGATGAAAATCAAATAGATCAAAATTTTACTTAGACGTTTGTGCCAAAAGGTAGGTACTTTTGATAAAAATTTTATTTAACTGTTACATTAAAAAACAACAACATTCCGACTGCTCCTTATTTATTACCCTTGAGAACATTTAGTCATTGTCACATCTACATTTACACTCAGATGTACATAATAACTTTTACTTATGTATGTGAGAATTATTATGTGAATATCTGTATTCTTTATTTTTCTTTTTTCCAATGGACACATATGTGAAGTAATTTTCATAAATAATTTATATGTAAAGTGAAGTCTGAAATGGAATATCAATATAAATGAAATAAATAGTTCCTGATCTAGCCATATAAGGAACAACGCAGAAATTAAATTAGAGCTTTCTTCTCAATTTTAATTGACTAAATTTCTAAATAATACTAAATATTGGTGTATTAGTAATTGATATTTTTAATAAAAAGTCCCGTTATTGGTAACAAACCGGCATGATTTGTCACTGTGACATGTTGCTGTCACAACACTTAGGTCATCCTATTTGTGTGTATTATGTTTGGTATGGTTGTTATTGCACAAGTGATCATCATCATTCAGTTTTATGGTCGTTTAAATATCTTATTTTCTATCTCGTTGGTTAGGAATTACATACTTTCTACCTCGTCGATACGATGAAGTGATGAAATACGTTAATAAAAAAAAAAATAGAACCCTTCATTATTTGAAAGTAAGGTGTGTCATCTGTTGGCGTTAATATCCTATAGACTCTTCTAGTAAATCTTTTTATTATTGGATACCGAAAACAATTATTAATTAATAATTATTTTATTATTATTCATCATCAATATTATATGTAAAATCTATTTGAAATGATCAAACAAAAATTTCCAGTTCTCTATTCTTTTGAATTTCATAAAAATAATTATTTTAAAAAATATCTAAAGGTATTGTAGAATTCAAAAAATCAAATTTTATAAATTACAACTTAGAATTCCAAATTACGCATTAAGATTTTTGATATAGAACAGAGGTTATGAAAATGTGTTCTACGTTGCCACTTTCTTAAAAACTAGCGGTGGTATTAATTTATTTTATTACATGAATAAAATAAAAAAAAAAAACAAAGGACATCCTTTATTCCTGCTTAGCTTAATTGCAGCCATAAATGGTAAAATCATACCAGACTCAAACGTCAAGAAACCGCTCGACGTTTCCGACTACTCTAAACTTGCAATTAATTACAAAAGACTCATACAATACAAGATATACATGACTACAATAAGGCCTATTAGGACTTACGGAGTTGAGCTATGGTGCTCCACTAAACCATCGAATTCCTGTCGTATCCAATCTTTAAAATCCTCAATGCTCCCTACTTTGTTATAAATAAAACATCATCCATAATGACTTGAATATTTCTTCATATCTAGCCCAATCCAGATACCTATCCTTTCATAATAAACTTCAGAATCATCCCAACCCTCTCGTTTCTAACCTTGCTTCCTCTTCAATTCCTGATAACCCTCCGAGGCGTCTGAAAAGAAGATGGCCCCGTGATCTCCTAATGTAGTCATATCATTAGAGTGCTACCATTGGGTAGTTTC